TATACCGTAAATAAAATATATCTTTCTTTAACTATATACTTTCCACAAACTGCCCTTAGTGAAGTAACATTCCACTTTCACACCGCTATAATCTCACAACGGAGCTCTCTAGCTGTGTGCTTTGTTGCTTTGCTATATTAAGAAGGCTACAGTCTACTTGTAACAATACTATATAATAGACCCAACTAATATTACTACTATAAAGTACTGCATATAGAACCAGCAGAAGTTTTTTTCAATTTTTAACAACAGTTTAGTGCTTTGAGATGCATTGAGTGTAATTTGGATTTGCATAAAGAGAGTATTTTTCTGTATCATGAATACAAAGTAAAATTTCTAATTATTTTATAAAATAATTAGAAATTTTACTTTATATTCGCAATGCAAGAAGATGCTCTCTTCATACAAATATGGGCTATACTCAATACACTTCAATACACTAAACAGCTGTTAAAAATTGAAAAGACCTCTGCTTATAGAACCCAGAGTATAAATTAAAAAACCTTCTTGATTTGTATCTAGAAGATATCATACAAGAATAAAATTTAAAGTAGTTAAGATAATTCTTAAAAAGAAGGTATATATTTATAAAGAAGATATATTTATTAGACAAGGTACTATATACTTATGCATATATATACGTATTCTAACTACAATTTTCAAAAAATCTGTACATTTACAAATCAGAATTTTTATTAATTAATTTGTATCATAGTTAATTAGTAATTGCAGATCATTTTCACTGGTTGACTGGTGGATTATTAATTAAAAATAAAGCCTAATTTAAATGAAACTTTATTAAATACTTAGTATATATATATTATAATAGATTATAAATCAAAATTAAATAAATGATATTATTAGATTTAGCATTTAAATTACACAATGCAGTATAATTATCAACTTAGATTTTTTTGTTTCAGATGTTTTTTATATATTAGAGAAATTATTCATGTTTATATTACTCTCTTTTCAGTTTTTCAAATGCCTCTTTAATTTCACATTATTTGAAGAATTTATGTTATTTACAATTTCAATACATCTCTTAATATACAACTAAATAAAAACAAATTATATTAAATATAAATCATTAATTGATATATTACAATTGAATTAAATATACTTTTGCAATTAACATATTATTTACTATTGTAATTAATTCATCTATTTTGTTCAATCTTACTAAGATTTTTGTAAAAAGATATTTATATAGTTGATAAATAGATCTATATGGAATATCTATTACTAATTGCTAGAAATATTGTCCTAGTATAATGATAAATAATAGAATATTTAACAAGAGAGAAAGATAAGATTTATAAAAAATACTATTCAATAAAAGGTATTTTATTAAAGTAAAAGAAGTCTATAATTTTAAGTTGGTAGAATATTATGAAACTAAGTTTTCACTTCTTTACTTTTAAACTAGTATATCTTGCATTGTTTTTAGTAATTTTTTTAGATTATCATTTAGACATTTTGTTCTGTCTTCTTCATCTTATAGTTTACTCTTTTTACTTATTACAAACTCTTCTGATATTTCCAATTTTCATAATATTTCATCACATCTATAATCAATAAGTTTTCTAACTTTCAAACTTTTTTTTCTATTATTTTTTTATTAATCTGAGATACAAGAGCAACCTTCACCACTAATAAAAATTTTTGTTAAAACTTTTATATCTATATTTATGCTTAAAAAAATAATAGCATATTTATTATATAAATTCTAAATTTATTACATCTAAAAGATAACAATCTATGATTATACTCTATATGTTTATTTTAAACTAATTCTTTAAATAAAAATTTATAAAATTATTAGTCCTAAATTCATACTTAGAAGTTTAGTAATAAAAATTTTAATTTAAATAATATTAAAAATATTTGTAAAATATTATTAATTATTTACAAATAAGAAAAAACTTAATATATATAGTGATAATTATAATCTTTCTATAGGTTATAAAAAGGTAAATTGATATTAGCATTAATTACCTTATATAGGTCTTGAGAAGTTTTCAATTATAATATAATGATTTAATATTGCTATACAATGTTTAATGATAATAATTAGTAATATATACTTGTCTGTAATATAAAAGAAACTCTAATAAGTTATTATCTACTTATTGTTTTAGAAGAATATCATATATATTGATGTAATACTTATTAAGATTACTAAAAAGATTTATAAGGGTATAAGAGAAGTGTTATTTATCATCTGATTATTTTAGAATGGGGTTCTCTAACAAAGTATTATGTACATTGATATACGATTAATCAGTTTTATTATTGTTTGAAATAAATGTAGTAAAAATGATTAGGACCTATAAATTTTATCATATAAGAGAGTGTGAATATTTACTATTTACAAAAAATCAGATGATAAATGACACTTCTCTAAACATTTATCAGATGATTTCTACCTCTTTAAAAATTTAAAAATTTCTTAAAATTTCTATTTATTAAATGTAAAAAGCAAAGTTAATTAATAAAAAGTTATTTAATTTATGTAAAATTTTCAAAAAAAATATTTTTTAATCTTTAGAACAAACTTTACTTAATATATATAATTGATTTACATAATAAAATTTTTGCAATTAAGCAAAATCTACTTTTACTTTAATATAATTTTTATATTTTAATTAGGAGTTTGCTATTTATCGCCACTGATAATCATCACCAGTATATAATTAACCAATTAATTTGCAAGATCAGGTGTAATGTGTAAATCAATTTTGTGAAACAAAAACAAAGAATTTTTAAAAAATTAATCATATCTTAAAATTTTGTCTATGAAACCACCTTTTGGACCTTAACAAAAAAAATTTCTTGCAAAATTTTACTATAACCTTTGCCTAACCTTAATATCATATCCCCACCCTTATTCTAATATTAAAAAAATTAAACCTTTGTTTTAAAAAATTACTTTGATTTATATGTTACACCTGTAAATCACTGGTGATGATCACCAGTGGTGATATGTAGTTATTTTGTTTTAATTATTATTATTAAAAATTTTATATAGTTATATTAGACAATCTTGATTGGCTAATAATACTATATTATATAGCATCTGATAATCCTTTTAACCTCTTCTCTTCTAAAAAATTAGGTGATAAATGTCTATGCTCTAACTATTTTATTACTTGTATTAATTATAAAACTGTACAAATAGCTAATAATATAATTTTATAATTAGATGTGATTATATATTACCTTAGCTGAATTGAAATAATTATCTTTTATATTTTAAATTTAGTATGTACTTATAAAGGATATCTTTTGCAAACTTTCTAAAAGGTAACTTCTATTTGTTCTCTGGATATGATTATTATATCTTTCTGAGTATTCTGCTTTTATCTTATTTATTTTTTCAATAATTAACCTGCTTCTCTTCTTGTCTTATTTAGCTTTTATATTAAACTTATCATCATTATAATCAGAAGTCTCTTTATTGTCATTATTTATATGCTCACTATTGCTATTTACATACTTATTAAATATAAAATTCTTGAAATCTTGCTTATCTGTATCAATCCTGTCACAGTTTATCTTATTACTATCTGTTTCTTTATTATTTTCTCTTCTTGTAGTTAGAGAACTTGAAGAGAACATTTGATATTCAGATATTTGTAGTAAAAGAGATATAACAGCATATAAAAAAAAAATTTATTATTTTAATCATCTATTTTTCTTTGCTTTGTTTCTTTATAACTATTTTAGAAGATAAAATTATAGTTCATAAGAAACAGATGAAAACTCAGTCTTTACAACTTATAGTTAAAAATAAAAATTATATCTTTTTATCATCTTTATTTCTTAAATTACTATTAATATTGAAAGATTCACTTTTGGAAGAACTAAATGATATATTATATTCTTTTGTACTAGCTTTATATTTTTTTAATTTCTTTGATATTTGTTCTGCAGCTTACCCAATTTCTTCTTATATAGTAATACTTTTAAAAGTATGCTAAATAGTTAAAGAAAATTTTAAACACCATATCCCTTAAACTGTAGGCTTTTCCAGGCAAATTTGCCTGGAAAATTATCATAAATATTGTTATGATCTACTTTTT